TCACTTGGCAGGATATTGAAAACCCTGGATGAATATCTTCTGTTCAGTTTGTTAGTTGGTTTTCTGCTTACTCTGGCCTAAGCATTACCATCATTTTTGCACGTTACAGCATTTAAAATAATATTATTAGAGTAAGAGCCAAATCGCAATGCTGTGTAAGTGCCTGTCATCAGAGAGCATTAGTAATACATTTTAAAAATCATCCACAGGGAGTTGAGTGTACATCTTTAAATCTTCCAAGGGGGCTAATTTGGCAACAAGAGCACAACATTTTCTTGTAGGGAACCAGAACCACGTTGCTAGTACCAATTTCCCTGCTTCCCACTGGAGCCTAAAAACAATCAGGAGAAAGAGTTCAGGAAATGAAGACATTACCAACAGCCACAAAACAGCCAGAATTGCTGCAAACGGTCTGGCCCGATACCAGCTTTGGCGGAGGCTGTACATCTGTATGACATGCAGTTATTATGCCTGAGCTTTGGTGTGAACAGTGGAGTGCTGACCTGAGAGTAGAGATAAAGAAAGGAGATGAGGAAGAGAGAGATGGGTAGACAGATTTGCTGTAGGGTTTTGTGCATTCCATTTCCATCACTGCTTAAAGAATGGGTGTGCAGAACTTATATGGTGGCAGCTTAGAGAATGTGCTTTTCTGTGTTTCTCCTTTTATTAAAACCAGTAGGATTGAAGTGCTTAGTAGTATGGAGGCTGCAGAGGTGGGGAAGGGGCTGTGATCTTACCAAGGGGATCAAAGAAGCTGGCTTTTCTGGGTCTTGAGGCTGTATATCATAGAAAGGCAGAGCCATTTCATTTATTTTCCTTAAATGCGTTACAGTTCTTAGTCTCTATACATCACGTGAGCCAACAATGAAGAGTTTGAAGAAGAGCCCTGTGGCTGATCAGTTTCTCTTATAACTAAAGTAACTATATAATTTCTCCTACAAACTTTTTATACAATGAATACTTTTACTGGGATGACAGGCATAAACTGGACCATCTTAGAATATGTAATCATCGGCTGGGCCCGGTGGCTCACACTGTAATCCCAGCACTTTGGGAGGCCAAGGAGGGTGGATTACCTGAGGTCAAGAGCTCGAGACCAGCCTGGCCAACATGACAAAATCCCTTCTCTATTAAAAATACACAAAATTAGCCAGGTATGGTGGTGTATGCCTGTAATCCCAGCTACTCAGGAGGCTGAGGCAGGAGAATCACTTGAACCTAGGAAGTGGAGGTTGCAGTGAGCCCACATCATGCCATTGCCCTCCAGCCTGGGCAACTGAGCAAGACTGCATCTCAAATATAATCATCCTACTTATAACCTAGGAGTTATAACTTTTTCAGTTCATATAGTATAGTGATTAAGAGAACAGACTCTTGGTTGGGTGTGGTAGCCTGTAATAGCAGCACTTTGGAAGGCCAAGGCGGGCGGAGCACGAGGAGAAGAGATTGAGACAATCCTGGCCAATATGGTGAAACCTCATCTCTACTAAAAATGCAAAAATTAACCAGGCTTGGCGGAGCGCGCCTGTAATCCCAGCTACTCAGGAGGCTTAAACAGGAGAATCACTTGAACCCAGGAAGTGGAGGTTGCAGTGAGCCAAGATCATGCCACTGCACTCCAGTCTGGGTGACAGAGTGAGACTCTGTCTCAGAGAAAAAAAAAATAAGAGAACAGACTCAAGAGCCAGACTTACTAAAACCCCAGCTATGTGACCTTGACAAGTCACTTAACTTCCCTGAAGTCAGTGTCGTCATTGGCAAAATAGAGCATGATAATTGTTCCTACTTTTGAAGGTTAATATGGTTAATATGTGGACAGGCACTTACCCAGCAGTTCCTGGTAGATAATGCAAGCTGAGTGTGTACTGTTCTTGTTATTTCATAAGGGTAAGCAACCTAATCTTATAGACCTGATGCCCAGCCTTCCTTTCCCAAGCCATGGCATGGAGGGGCATTCAGCAAATTATTTGTATGCTGAATTAATAAATTAAAAGAAGGAAGAAAGGAACATGATTTTTATCCTTTACCTACACTTTTTTCTTTATTCTTTCACTACTTTTAGGCTACTTTGAAGGGCAAGGAATAGACCCAAAAAGGCTTTCAAATGCCTGTTCTAACCTAGCCTTTACTATGCCCTGAGGTCCCTTGTATTTTGAGCTTCCTCTGGAAGGAAGAGAGATAGATTTGGATTAAAGAGAAAATTAGGCCTATAACCAACATTAGACTCTCTTCATCATCTGCGTTTCTACCTGCATGCCTCTCCCAAGCTGGTAGACCTTGTTGTAGAAAGTTACGTCTTGTCAATTAAAATTAAATTTATCCATTAGCACTATTGCTACCACCTCAAGTAGGCCTGTTAGCAATCCTTATATTTAGTCTCAGTCATATTTCCCAAAGATATCATCTTTCCCATCCCATACACATCTCTCCCAAATTGACCTGCTTTCTGCTTTATTGAGATGAGACTTTCTAACATGAACTTCAACTTCCCCCTTCCACATCCAAGTGATTTACAACCCCTCCTATTATTTCCTTGCCTGTGCCAGAAAGGAAACTGCCCCATTTGCTTTCCAAAGCTAATTTGCTCCTTAATCAAAATCTATCTCTGTTCCTTCCAGAGCTCTGTTCCATCAGTTACCCCATTCTGTTTTGTTTTTTACAAGTCTCCCAAATTTCTGATTTCTTCTCTTTTACATATTAGTATACTTGCATATTTTTCTACCATAAAACGACATGAACAACAAAAAGCTCATCTTTCTCCTTCTTTCCATTACCAAACCTGCCAAAAGAATAATCCATGCATATTAGCCTCTCTTACTCTTAATCATTTCTAAACCCTTTTAAAGTGACCTCTCATACCACTAATTTGAAATTGTCCTCTCATAAATTACTATTGACATTCTAATCCCTATATCTGATGACTTCTCCTGCGTCCTTGTCCTCCCCAATCTCTCTGCAGCATTTTATGTCATTGATCACCCTCTCCTTCATAAAACACATCCTTGGCTTCCTTGACTTGGATTGATCTTGGCTACCATCTTGCATCTCTAATTTGTGTTTGCCTCGTCTTTCTGTCACCCCCTAGACAGAGGTGCTCCCCCCGTGTTCAACTCTTCCATTTTGATCACTCGACTCTTTTGGTGATTGCAACCATTTCCAGGACCTTGACCATGGCCTGGCCTCCAGATCCGTATTTCTAACCCAACAAATACTGCAGGTCCACATTTCCAGCATTCTGCTGGACAGAAACATTTACTAAAAACTAGATTTTTTTCCTCAACACATTCTCCCAAACCAATTTTACCCCCTGGGTTTCCTGTTTCTGATAATGGCATCTCTATCCTCCCATCCCATCCCCCAGATTCGAAAGTAAAAATTATATTTGTGCCTTCTTCACCTAACTAGTCTCCAGGTTCTATCAACTCTATCTCCACCCCTGTCAAATCTATCGTTTTCTTTCTTTCCATGAGCACTGCCACTGCCCAGCATGCCACCTTTTGTCTCAAATGTCACAGCAACCTGCTACCTGCTCCTATTTCTTCCTGTCTATTCTTCCAGCATGTCCTGAATCTTCCATTACTCTCTCTCCTAATATTGCTTTATATGCTGCAGATAAAAGCCCCAAATGCCACCACCTGGGCCCTTCTTTTTCCCGACATAGTCTCTATAATTGGTCTTTACACATACTACTCTCCAGCCAATCCAAACTTCACCTTTCAGAATAAGTCCCATACTTCCTACCTCTAAGCCTCATCTTTTTCCCCTTGCATTAGTTTCCTAAGGCTGCCGTAACAAAACGCCACAAATTGGATGGTTTAAAGCAACAGAAATATAGCCTTGCCCAGTTCTGGAGGCTAGATGTCCAAAATCAAGCTGTCAGCAGGGCCGTCTTCTCTTTGAAGGCCCTCGGGGAAGAACCCTTTCTTGCCTCTTCTAACTTCTGGCATTGCTGCAAACCTAGACGCTCCTTGGCTTGTGGATGCATCACTCAGGTCTCTGCCTCCATCTTGTCATGGCCTTCTCTCCTGGATATCTGTGTCTAAATTTCCCTTTTCTTTTAAGGAAACCAGCTCTAATCCAGTACGACTTCATCTTAACTTGGTTACATATGCAAACCCAACTCCCAAATATGGTCGCACTCTGTATGCACTGAATGTCAGTGTCCCCATCAAAATTTTTAGGTTGAAATTCTAACCCCCAATGCTATGGTATTAGGAAGTGGAGCTTTGGAGAGGTAATTAGATCATGAGAGTAGAGCCCTCATGATGGAATTGGTGTCCTCATCAACACACCCCAGAGAGCTCCTTGACCTCTTTCTACTTGTGAGGATATGCCAGGATGGTAGTCAGCAACTCAGAAGAAGGCCCTCACCAGAACTCGACCATGCTGGTACCCTGATCTTGGACTTCCAGCCTCTAGAATTGTAAAAATAAATTTCTAATGTTTATGAGCCACTCCAGCCATGGTATTGTCTTATAAGTGCACTTATAGAGTGTGACTAAGACACACAGATTCTGGTGGTTAGAACTTCAGCATATCTTTCTCGGGGACACAGTTCAACCCATAACACTTCTCCCTCTACCCAGAGATGGACTTCGTCCTCCACACAGTTCCATAGGTCAAAATCCTTCCACCGTTCCAGGGTTTGGTTGATTTTCACCTCTGCCAAGAAGTTGCTTATAATCCCCTGGTAACACAGTATTTTGCCCCTTTTATAGCATAGCTGTTTCTATTTATCTTCTTTCTGCTCTAAATTCAAAACCCCTCCAGACATAGGACATGTATATCACTTATCTTTGTATTCCCTCCCCAACTCCATGCGTAGCAGAGTGCCTTTTACTTGTGAACTTACCTGGTTAAATCAAATTAAGTTTCCTTTTATATATGAAATTTTGACCATTCCTATATTTTTGTCACTTAAAGTAATTTTTCACTTTCATCATTAAATCTAAATGTTGTGTTGGCCAGGCCCAAATAATTTCAATCTGGACTTACTTTTCATTGACATGTTTCAACATTAATAACATATCTCTTTCCCCTTTTTTTGAAACTCTATAAATTGGTTTGTATAGGTCATTTTTCTATGTATCGATTTCTTCCTTGGATTATTTTGAAGTTAATATTGCAGGTGCCCTGACTTCTGTTGGAATCTAATCATCTAGCATTCAGAAGATACATCAAAGAGTGATCCAGGGAGCCTGGCTTGGACCTTCAACTTCAGCCTTACAGGTAGTTTCCTGAGATTAAATCAGCATGTCAAACACAGTTTCCTTCAGGTCTGTGTAAACTCTTTATTGTAGGGTCATCATAATTAATATGATATTCCCAATCCTATATTAATTGATTTTTTATTCCTGCAGGTTTCAAATTGGAAATAAGATAGAGTAACTAAATGCTATGCTAGCTCCCAACATTACTGCTCAAGAGTAGGTATCTATCCTAGTGTTTCATCTTGAGTTGCTGCATATGTATATTCCTCTGCGTGTGTGTGTGTGTGTGTGTGTGTGTGTGTGTGTGTGTGTGTGTTTTCGTGGAATGGCTGGAATCTGTTTAATCTCCTAGATAGATTGAGCACATACACAGCAAGAGCATTCAGACTATGGGCTTTTAGTCAAGGACATGATTCTCTTTTTAATGCATATTTGGGACTGACAGACAGAATTATTGAGGATCAGCAGTCATGGGGAGAAAAGGAAAAACAAGTGAAATGGTAGACCAAAATGGTGTTTAAGGGCCAGTTTCTCTGCATGTGCTCGCTCTACAGAAAGGGTCCTAGGGGCTGTGGGGAAATAGGCAGCCTCCGGGCTGTGAGCTAATGTGGCACCGCTGCTGTTTGCATAGCTGCACAGCCCTAGGAGAGACCTGGGAAAGCTAGCTTGAATTCCAATGAATATTTACAATTACACTGCTCCGGAGCAGAATGCAATCACAGTGCTCCAGTCTACAGGTTTTATGCATCAAAAGAAAATGAGAAGAGAGCAGCAAAAATGGAGTTGCCTTTGGAGAGACTTACAAACACAGATCTCACTGCTTGTGGCAGAACTAAAATGCTTTATTTCTGATAGGAGCAATTTATTCTTCAGGCACCTTCCTTGATAGTAGAAAGCACCTGACTGGGTTTTGAAGTGAGAAAGTCTTCAGTAGATGGTTTTTAATTCTGAGCAAGAGAAAGGCATGGAAGGAATTGTATTGCATAATTTTGATTTTGTTTTCTAACAGCAGACCCTAGAGAGGGGTTGGAAAATCTCTAAACCTGTTCACAAACTGTCTCTTCTTTCCATTTGTGTTTTCATTCTGTTTCCACAGATTGTCATTGCCTTTCTGGGTAACCCTGGGAAATGCTGCCACCATTTTATATCTCCAGCTTAAAGCCTTTGGGTAATTGATTACCGGTAAGGCCTGCAATCCCCTTGCTCATTTTTTTCTCATGAGCTGTTGATCCACACCAAATATCTGAAGAGAGCTAGATGGGAAAAATTAGTTAGAGCCACTTGGATCCAGTGAGGCAATTCTTAACTTTTAGAGGTGCCAGAGTAGATGAAATGGAATGTTTTAAAAGGACTCTGCCACAACCTGGTTTTAGACTCAGCTGACTAATCTCTCTGACTATTAAGATTTATATTGGATTACTATTTGCTAGCAGCCTGGGTTGCTGCACTAAGCAAAAGCCCTGTCAGCTACCCATCCGTACTTTTACCCATGATCAGTCCATTTTCTCCCATCAAGATGTCCACCTGATGCCACTGTCTCCCATCCACCTCTCTGCCTGTTCACCTCTCCCACCACTAATCCATGCATCTTTTCACATATCTATACATCAACTTGCTTGTACACATCCAAGCTTGGAACAGAGGCAGGCAGGAGTCATTCCTCCGGCCAAATAGATTGCTGCCTCTGTGTCCCTTCTTCAAGGAAATTCTGTATTTACTAAAGTTATTTAGTAAGTCTTACAGTATACAAAATACCTATGGCCTATTAGTTTGCAATACACATGTAGATATTTGTTGCAAAAACCCGTAGATGTGGTATTACTTAGTGCAGGACAAATAATCACTTTAAACAAATGTGATTGCTTGTTCTTTACTCTCATGGTCAAAGAAGTAACACACTTTAATACCTAGTGATACCAGGAGGTCAGGCATTTGTTCCAATATGGCTGCTACTGCTGAAAACATTTGACTCTCCTCTTCTGAAAATGCCCATTAAAAATTTTAAAGTAGGCAAAGGACTTGAATAGACATTTTTTCCAAAAGCAATATACAAATGGGACCAGGCACAGTGGCTCACATCTGTAATCCCAGTATTTCAGGAGGCCAAGGTGGTTGGATTACTTGAGCCCAGAAGTTTGAGTCCAGCCTGGCCAACATGACAAAACCCCATCTCAATTAAAGTTTTATAAAATCTTTTAATAATAAAAAAAGATACACAAGTAGCCAACAAGCACCTGAAAACATGCTTAACATCATTAATCATTAGGGAAATGTAAGTCAAAAACCACGAAATAACCACTTCACACTCAGTAAGATGGCCATTTTTTTTATTTTTTTTGAGACAGAGTCTCACTCTGTTGCCCAGACTGATGTGCAGTGGCATGATCTCGGCTCACTGCAACCTCCACCTCCTGCATTAAAGCAGTTCTCCTGCCTCAGCCTCCTGAGTAGCTAGGATTACAGGCATGCACCACCATGCCCAGCTAATTTTTGTATTTTTAGCAGAGACAAGGTTTCACCATGTTGGTCAGGCTGTTCTCGAACTCCTGACCTTGTGATCTGCCCACCTTGGCCTCTCAAAGTGCTGGGATTACAGGTATGAGCCACCGTGCTTGGCCAAGCCATAATTTTTTAAATGAAAAATAACAAGTGTTCGTAAAGATATGGAGAAATTACAACTCTCATACATTGCTGGTGGAATATAAAATGGTATAGCTTCTATGAAAAACAATTTTGTGGTTCTTTAAAAAGATAAACATAGACTTACCATATGCCCCAGCAATTCTACTCTTAGGTATATGCACAAAATTATTGAGAACAGGTGCTCAAACAAGGGCTTGTAAATGAATGCTCCTATCAGAACTATTCACAATAACCAAAAGACAGTTGGTGCAACCATATGCCTTTCAACAGATGAATGGATAAACAAAATGTGGTATGTACATACAATGAAATACTGATTTTAAAAGGATTGCTACATGCAACAAAATTAATGTACCTTGAAACCATTCTGCTAAGATGTCAGTCATAAAGTATCACATATTATATAGTTCTGTTTATATGAAATATCTAGAATAGGCAAATCTGTAGAAAGTCGATTAGTGGCTGCTTAAGGCTGGGTGGGGGGAAGAAGGTGTAGTGAAAAGTAGGGACATAATGGCTAAAGGTTATAGGGTTTGTTTCTGTGGTGATGAAAATATTTTTAAATTGCGTAATAGTGGTTGCACATATCTGTGCCCATACTAAAAATCATTGAATTTTACACTTTAAATGGGTGGATTATATGGTATATGAATTAATTTTCAATAAATCTCTTTTATTTTTTAAAAATAGTTGTAAACCATACTTATAAAAAGCATTAACTCATTACTTTATGGTCCTACCCAATATTTTTAAATAACTTATAATATTATCCAGCTTGTTCATTTACTTATTTTAGAAGTTTGGTCCCAAATGATATTTAGCTATTTTTAGAAATCTACTGTGAAGTGGTAAATATTTGCCAACAATGATAATATTCACAATACAGGTGAGAGGTGATGAGAGAACTGCTCAGAGAGGAGTTCCCAAAATTTTTATTTGTATCTGTGAAATAAATGGGTCATTTCCTCATGTGACTTCAGAAGGGGAACTCTCATTAGGAGCTAAAAATTCTAGTGTGTTTACGAAAAGTAGTCACACATCATCATATATCTATGTATACGTTGGTATACCCATATAATTGGTATATACATCTACATCGATACATATAATTTGGGGTGTGTGTGTGTGTGTGTGTGTGTCCAATCTTTGATTTGTAACAGGACAAGCAGAAAGAAATGGAAGTTTAGATTTTTTTCTACTCTTTCAATGAATGTTCATTGGGCATTTAATAAAGGGTATCAAAATCACAAGACACATTTGTCAGGAAAACCCCTTATCCAATTAAACAGAGGTGGTGCAGATTTTTGGTAAACTCCAGACCAGAGTTAGAGGCCAAATAATTCATTCGTGCTTAAGAGTGGAGAACTTCATAGAATAGTCAATAAAGGTGTTCCCCTAGAGAAATTCACTGGCAAATATTTTTAAAGCTTCTAAATGGCATTTGACCAGCAGAATATCCAAAGGTGGTATAACTAATTGTCTTGGCAAGAACTTATGTACAGTTGCTATTTATCGACAAAGAGGAACCCATCTTCAGTTCTTCCCATAGTTTCAAGTCCTCCAACAGTAAGTACCCAATAATTTTTATTAAAATGGTCCCTGTTAGCCCTATCAACTGATGACAACTGCATAACCATACAGCAGGAGAGGGTGTTATAGGTATTGGTGGCTTCTTTGAAATACTGTCCACTGTACTAATGAGCTATGGGTAAAAAGAGGCACTCATGTATTTGAATAGAATTATTTTAGGTTTTTGTCATTTTTCCTTCTGCTAAAAATGTACTAAGTAAGTAAAGTCATAATAACTAGCTAACTAATTGCCTCCCCCACTGATGTCCAACTTCTATAGCAACTGGGTTTGAGTGGAAACTTACCCAGAAATGATTTTTGTGAACTTAAGTGAAACTCTAATGATACAACCACATAAGAGAAAAACTGCTGCCATCATATAAAAAAAAGTTAACGCAGAGCAGTTGATATCTAACAGAGGCCTTTTCAACCCTGCAGGCAATGGTGTTTTCAAAAGTTTGCAAGCTGACCATTCTATCTGGTATTGTTTGAATGTTCAGATGTGCCCCAGAATGATAGATAACATTCTTTTTCTAACCTTGAAATAGACACTCAATGGAAATGGGAAATAATGAGATTTGCCTGTACATTTCTACTAATATATCAGTTCTCACTAATAATTGATATATCCAAGATTTCATTTCTTAGTCAACCTGAATCCCTAATAATCTATCTTCCACAGCTATTAGTTTTATTGGTGATAGTTCAGCATTTATTGTTTTGGGAAAAAAATCGTTATTTATTTATAGAGTTAAAAACTACTTGGATTCCTAGCTCTGGGTAGCTACTGGTCAGTCACATTGCCTTTCTATGTTTATGTGTACATTTATAAAATAGGTATAAAATACACAAAACTATACCCAGAGGAATATGGGACCCAACATTTGTTGCAAACATATCACATGCCAGACATTGTACTTGGTATTTTACAGACATGATCCCATTTTAATCCTCAAAATAATTTTGCACAGTCAATAAGATTCCCATATTACAGACAAGAAAATAGAAATTCAGAAAGTCACTCAACCCGTGACCTTTGGCAAATGTTGGTACAAGGATTCAAACCTAAGTGGAAAGCTAAGCTCTGTATAATGTTTAAGGTCCTTGTAATTTTTAAGGTCTTGCATGCACACCCCCTCCCTACACCTTACATCTCAGATCTCAGTTTCTATTATCTCCTCTCCTTCACTCTTCTCCAACCCTGCAAGCCTGCTCCCACCTCAGGGCTGGCTGTTCCTTCAGCCTGAAACCGTCTTTCCCCCATATCTGAATGGCTTATACCCTCACTTTCTCAAGTCTTCGCTCCAATGTCACCTTCTAAGTAAGACTTCTGATCCTCCTGTTTAAAACCACAACCTACAACCGACTCCCCACTCGCAATCATTCTCACTCCAATTTGTTTTCTTTTCCTGTAAGCATTTATCACCTTCTAATGCTATCTTTATTGTCTGCTACTCTCACCAGAATGTTTGCTCCACTAAGACATCAATTTTTGTCTGTTTTGTTCTTGATGTTTCTTAGCTACTAGAACTGTGCCTAGCACATATTTTGGGGCCATTAAGTGTTGACTGAATAAATGAAAGACTCAATTGACTCCAAAGCTTGTGCTCTTTCGACTCAAAGGCCCCAGTAATGAGCTTCTAGAGATTTTCATTTTAAACATTATTAATCTGAATCTCTCCTGCGCTCTGACTTTCTCTCCTTTCACCAAATAGTGGGAAGAAACCCTCCCCTCAACTACCTGTCTGGTGTTTATGTGACTGAGAATCATGGTTAAGGATCAGAGAATACAGGATATTATTCGTCCCATATCCATGAGGGTCTAGGTTATGTGTGGGGCTGTGAGAAGATGACTAGGGGTTCTGTGTGTATAAGAGGCTAGATGTGACATGCTTCTAGTTACCTAGCATGAGGGGTGACAGCTCTGCTAGTGAACCCTCAAGCAGGGTGAGTGAGTCCTGGTGCTGGCCAGCATGAACCCTAGAGCTGCAGGAGAACGAAAGGAGCTCATTCCTTCCCTGTCTTCTTAAAGCCTAATAGGTCTGAAGACAAGGTCCATGCTCTACTTGGCATTTGCAGTTTTGGAGGATGCAAATTAACTCTGAACTTGGACTATATTTCTAGATGGTTACAATTCAGAATCTCATGACTGTAATAAGGCTTACTGGATTTTGTGCTTTGCTTTCACTGTTGGATATTTGTTGAAATTCAGTGTGGAACTAATTTGTCTTTGAAAGCCATCTTTAGCTTTCTAATAACCCAACAAGCCTGTTGGAAGAAAGGCGATGATAGAAAAGAGGTTCTTAGTTGGGTGCTGTGGCTCACACCTGAAATCCCAGCACTTTGAGAGGCCAAGGCGGGCAAATCATGAGGTCAGGAGTTCGAGACTAGCCTGGCCAACATGGTGAAATCTAGCCTCTACTAAAAATACAAAAATTAACTGGGCGTGGTGGCAGGCACCTGTAATCCCAACTACTCAGGAGGCTGAGGCAGGAGAATTGCTTGAACCCAGGAGGCAGAGGTTGCAGTGAGCCAAGATTGTGTCACTGCACTCCAGCCAGGGCCACAGGGCAAGACTCTTTCAAAAAAAAAAAAAAAAGAAGAAGAAAGAAAGAAAAGAAAAGAGGTTCTTCTCATTTCCTTAGTATGGTTTTTATTTTTACTTTATTTTAGAAAAATGAACCACTTTTTTTTTACTTTATTAAAAAATATGTATTTTTGTGCAAATTAAAACCACATTGAGATACAATCTCACTCCGTTTAGAATGGCAATCATTAAAAAGCCAGGAGACAACAGATGCTGGAGAGGATATGGAAAAATAGGAATGCTTTTACGCTGTTGGTGGGAGTGTAAAATGTGGCAATTCCTCAAGGATCTAGAACTAGAAATACCATTTGACCCAGCAATCCCATTACTGGGTATATACTCAAAGAATTATAAATTGTTCTATTATATAAATAAACATGCACAGATATGTTTATTGCAGCACTCTTTACAATAGCAAACACTTGGAACCAACCCAAATGCCCATCAGTAATAGACTGGATAAAAAAAATGTGGCACATATACACCCTGGAATACTCACGTCCTTTGCAGGGACATGGATGCAGCTGGAAACCATCATTCTCAGCAAACTAACACAAGAACAGAAAACCAAACATTGCATGTTCTCACTCATAAGTGGGAGTTGAACAAGGAGAACACATGGACACAGGGAAGGGAACATCACACACTGGGGACTGTCAGGGCTGGGGGGCTAGGAGAGGGATAGCATTAGGAGAAATACCTAATGTAGATGATGGGGTGATAGATGTGGCCAACCACTATGGCACATGTATACTTATGTAACAAACCTGCATGTTCTGCACATGTACCCCAGAACTTAAAGTATAGTTTTAAAAAATTTAAAAATATGTATTTTTGGCTGACTCACTGTATAATAAAGGAAAACTGCTGGATACAAACCCAGTAAAGTGTTTAATACAAACATGCATACATAAATGTGCAAGCTATCTATCTCTTTTCCGGCTTTTTTCAATGAGTACATGTGTGCACATACATACTAGAAGAAAAGTTGGTGAGGAAGTTATTTCTTTTGTTTTTTTTGAGACAGAGTTTCGCTCTTGTTACCCAGGCTGGAGGGCAATGGCGTGATCTCGGCTCAGCGCAACCTCCGCCTCCTGAGTTCAGGCAATTCTCCTGCCTCAGCCTCCTGAGTAGCTGGGACTACAGGCACGCGCCACCATGCCCAGCTAATTTTTTGTATTTTTAGTAGAGACGGGGTTTCACCATGCTGACCAGGATGGTCTCCATCTCTTGACCTCGTGATCCACCCGCCTCGGCCTCCCAAAGTGCTGGGATTACAGGCTTGAGCCACTGCGCCCAGCAGAGGAAGTTATTTCTAAATCACAGGATTCAGGGTATTTTTATTTTCTTTTTAAAAATGTTTCCAAAATCCACCCACCCATCTGCACACTGATACTCTCTTTACATGTCTGCATATTTTTCACATTTTTTTACAGCAAATGTGTATTACTTTGTAACCATGCAATTAATTTTCTCAGTAATGTTTATAATTTCTATATCATTTTCTTTGAAGATCTACAGAAGGTTTCCCCTATGTTCATTATGTTGCTTTGAGTCTATTTGCTTTTTCTGAATCCCTGCCATAAAACTAAAAGCAATGAAAGTGTTTTACTAATTAAAAGACTTTCATGCTAAAAAAATACATTTTAAAAAATCATGAAACTCTTTCTTCAGTAGCTTCTCAGGAAAGATTGGTAGCCTTCCATATGACAGGATAGGAAAACATTTATAAACCAACAACTTAAATGCAGAATTATCTTCTGCCTTTAGTTAATACTGTCGTGTCATTCCATATTGCCATCGATGTTAATATTGGGGAGCCATAAGATGGAAAACTCTGTAGTCATTAGGAAAAATGGGGTAAATCAGCACCCTCACTGACTGGGAAAGTTGCTCATGGAACACTCTTAAATAGAAGAAAGAGTTACAAATCAGGATTAAGTCTGCTCATGTTCTTAAGAAATTGTTTTGTATATATGTTTATAAACAGACAGAAATCCAAAAAGACATATAGCAAATTGCTCATAGTGCTTATTACTTAGGAGTAGAATTGGCAAAGATGTTGATTTTCAAATTATTCTGCATTTTTGAAATGTTAAAAATAAAATAAATGATGTACATATTTTAAATATGTTCATCTACTCAATATTTCTAAGCATTCCTTTCTAAGATTCCAAAAACTATTGATGCACGATTTCTTTCCCCTGAGCTCAGACATCAGATCGAGGTCACTGTTATCTTCCCAAGAACATGCAAGGTGACATATAGTAGGTGCCAGTAAATAATTTTGAATGAAAGAATAAATATATCAAAATTGTATCTCCTTTTTAAAGGTTTTTAAAAAAAACCTATCAAATTTTGCTTTATATGTAGTTTGAGAAAAAAAGTTCTTGCTTCCCAGAGAACTAGTGAAAGAAAATGCACATTCACATATACAATACTTTTTTTTCAAACTTTGGGGAATGGATCCATAGTAATTACTTCTTCTCATACATTCATCTACTTTATGTTTTTTTATTTTTCAATATATTATAAAAAAATCCTGAGGTGACATCTAAACTACTTGTCTCTTCAGCTTACTGGCAGAGAAAACAAAAGCTCAGCTGGGAGACTGAAATGGAGGCACCTACTTTCAAGTCCAGTCTTTAAGAGAGGTAAACCACATACCTAAGCCTTCCTAATAGATTCCAGAAAGAACATCTATGAAACTTCCCTTGATCTTTTTTTTCTTACACAAATTTAAAACTTTGATCGCTTACAACCAAAAAGCAGTATTTAAAGAAACAGCACAGGTCACTTTTATTATATACAGCTCTGTTAGCAAGATACTACCTTGAGTAGCTGTTTAAAGGGATCACACTTCAAAAGGTAATTGACCTAAATTCTCCTTCCTGCTCTACACTCGGTGAGTCTTCCCCATGTGCAGCCCTCCCATGGATCTCACACATGGAAGAGTTACAGTGAGGTCCTGGGGAGCATGAGAATCTAGGTCACTGTGATTAAAACTAATTCAAACTTTATTTTAATACCTGTGTTTAGTTTGCTAAAAATGCTCAACTTCATTGGGTACCTAAGAGCTGACAGCCCCACTCTGGAATGAACCAGAAGTTGATTTACAGAGAAGAACACTCTAAAATGATCACACCTCTTCTGATCCCATCTGGTTGGGGATATGCTGAAATGGAATTCTGTGTTTCTGCTTTCAAAGTATTTGTTTTGGTCTGAATCATGAACAAAATTACAGAACACACACATCTAAAAGAAGAAACTGTGCTCTAGCCAGTTGTCCTATGAGTAGCCTAATGCTATCTAATTTCTTTTGTTCATCTCAAAGAGGTTTTTATTTTGGCAGATGTTCACTGATTCAGTCACATTATCTGGTAATTTTCCTATTTCATGTCCATATCATTGCTTTGCCCCAATGATATAAAGTAAAGCATTTATAAACTTATAAATTTGTAAGTAAACTTATACATTTAAGTGATATCTGGTAGTCATATTCTTAGGATAATTGTGCAATTGGTTAAAGTTCTTTAGAACTTACTGGAACACTGATTTAAAGTTTTAAATGTCCAACACATTTCCTAGTTGTGGAAATCCCATCAGCACCAACTAATCATTGTTCCAAACATCTTTGGAATGAAACAGAATCAACAAACATCTTTGGTACACAATTTTCCTGGAGTGTTTTTAAGGCTTTCTCCCATTATTTTGGAAAACAATATTGTTGCTATCATTTTAGAACACTTCCAGAAGCCGACTTGGCATTGAAGTTCTGACTCATTTATAAGACCATCTGTTACAAATCACAGCTTTCTGTTCGATAGTTTCTGGACCAAGGCATATATTTGACTGGAAAAAATTGTTCTGTTACCTGAAGTTGTGTGTTAGCAAAGAAAGGCATGAGAACCAAATTTCTAACTAATATTAATATTTCTAATATGTGTCATCATATGAGCAAGTGTCCTCATTGTGTGTTCCCCAAACAAAAACATAGCCATTGTCCTTCAAATTATTAAACAGGATAAAAATAAAGAAATAGACATACAATTTCTGATACATAAAAAGGGAAATGTCTGGGGAAAGGAAACAAAAATCAAGCTCTTTGGATCCTGAGATTATATGAATATAAGCAAAAACCCACATGAAGTCACTTAATAATGAGGTCAAGAATGCTGAATAATTTAACATACCCTTGGATCCTGATTTGTAATTGTCCAAAACTAATATTTCACAAGCCACATTGCACCTTGTCACTGAATTCTATTTCACCCTCAAGATAATGTCCAAGTATTAATGGACCCAATTTGGTGGAAATTACCTAATTGGCTGCAGTCACTTCAACTTGAATGTGACATTTTGGTCTGTTCTGTAGTCACAAGGATACGTTAGAAGCCTGGGCAGCAGACTTGCTCTTTGTGATAATTGTAGCTGAAGCTTGTGTTATCACTGAAGCTTATTATTTTGCAAGTTGTACACTCAGCTTTTTGTTAAAATTGTATTCTAAGGAAAAATCCCTGAGGAGGCTGCTTTTCTCTCCTGGCTTTTCTAAAACCTCCAGATGAGGATGACCAAACAAAATGCTCTATGATTGCACATGCCACCAAATAAAATATCTTAGTATCATACATTAGTTAGAGATCCTTAAGTCTCTGTTTTCTTTAGATTGTGTGATTATTCAGTTAACCAAATTACTGCTGGCAAATGGCATTAATGAAGGGCATTCCTTGTATCTTAGGGTAATTTTGTACCTCTTCATTGGACAGGTAAATGGGGAATAAGAAGTGAGCTTCCTGCTCTATTGTTGCCTGCTCCATTTTGTGTCTAAGGCATGAAAGCAGTAAGCTCACTCCTGCACAGTAGGAGGGCATCACACAGTGGCCATCTTTCTCTTGTCAGTAATAAAAAGTATCGTGCTTTATAGTTTCAGGAGGATATTCCTTCCCTCTCTCCCTTTCTTTCTTCCTTCCTTGTATATTCAGAGTAAATAAGATGGTCCATGCCCTTTGCTGGGCACTGAAGATACAAAGAGAAATAAATATAGTCTCTGCCCTCAATACGCTCCCTGGTTAAGGAGAGAGGAAGAATAACCAGCCAATCATTATCCTGTACAGTGAGCATTCTAACCATGTGTACTACAGAAAATGCTGAGAGGACAGGAAGCCTCACAGAGAAAGTAAGCTTGTGGCCAGATCTTGGAAGGTGAACAGGTGTTTACAGCTTGAGAAAGAGGAGTGAAGAGAGGGGACTGGGGAAGTTGTCACCTCAAGCAGAAGGGACAGCGATGTGAGGACATTAAGGCATGAAATATGTGAGTGAAACGGCAGGTGAGGCCAGATCACAAAGGACCTGTGTGCCTTGTCCAGGTGTCTGGAATGTGTTGTATGGTGCTTTTATTTCAGCTGTTTCTCACAGTAGCCTGAGGAGACTGATGTTATCCAGCAGACCAGTGTCCTGAGAAATTGAGGACCTACACTGTAGTAGGGTTCTGCCACCTACCACCACTTGTCAACTTGGAGCAAGTCACCAGGCCTCTTTGAGCTTAGAACACATATCACCTATTTAACATTTCTCTATGTAACAATAATTTGATATAAATGCTATTGTCCTTTCAGCAACTGTCTGTTACTGCATACTGTTAATGTACTTTTCCTAGGCACTGGGTGCTATTAGCTGACGAGAGCTAATATGGCAAACTGCAATCTCCTCCCTCACCAGTGCACATAGCCCACCACTCTTCAACCAGCCTCACCCAATGAGCATGCTCCCACACTACCCTGAGCAGACTGTCTTTCGCAATGGTGGTGTTTATTCTGCCGTGTTCTCTCTTTCTGCCATTTATTTTTGCTCCGTGAAGCAGTTTTGATCCATAATGACTAACAAAAGATGTTCAAGCGCTGGTGCTGGAGCAAAAAAATAGTGTCATGCTGGGTGTTCAAATGCAAGTGTAATAGCAGCTCAAGTGAAGTTCAAGGGGATGGTTGGAGAGAGAGAGTGAAGGAGTGGGAGAGGGAGAAGCCATTAGCAGGCAGTTAAAGAGCAGCAGTAGTGTGACTTGGGAAGGGCACCATACAGAGCGGGGCATCCTGGGAGGACTGCACGACACCTGTGAAAGCAGGCTGGGAGACAACTTGGCTGGAAGGAAGCCATGACCTCAGGGAACCCGGAAGGAACAGAGTAGCCATCATCAGCCATTGTCATGATACTGAGGGCATGTCTCTGTAGGGTATGTGTTTTCAGGACCAAATGCAGCATGAAGTCAGGTAGTGCACCCTTTTCTGAAAAGAATGCAACCCCTGGGCAAGCCATGGGGAATTCATGGTTTACTAAACTACAGAGTTTAGGAGCGTGGGCTCTGTAGCTAGGCCATCTGGGTTTGAAGCCAGCTTTACCATTTACCACCAGCTAGCTGTATTACCTTGGATATTGAACCTCACAGCACCTCAGTTAATGGAAGTAACAATAGTATCTACCAAGCAGGGTAGCTGAGAGAGTGCTTAGCATAGTGCCCAGCACGTGTTAAATGCTCAAAAGTATTAGTTATAATTATAATTATCTTTATTATTATAACGATGTTGTTATTTAGTTTTCTGACTGTAAAATGAGGAGAATAGACTAAATAATACCTGAGATCCCCCGCAATGCAAACATTGCTGAATTCACTAATCCCTTTAACCCTAGGAGAAAACTGTAACTCTGAGGGATTGACTGCCCCCCACCAGGGTTTCATGGGGAGTAAGGAGTAAATGCAAAACTGAAACTGAAACCCAAGTCAGCTGCCCACTCTCAGGCCCTCCATGCTCTCTGGCAGTGCACCAAATTGACCAGAACATAACCCAGCAGGGCCCCTTGCTCCCTAACCTCTGGCACCCTTGGAGTGGTAGAGCTTCAGGCCAGCACTGGTTTTTCTTTTGTTTTTTAACCCCTTCCCTTCTTCTGTGAATCAAGACGGGAAGTGGCAATCCTGGGTAGTGAAAGGGATTTGTTGCATTGGAGGAAATACAATTTAGCCTAACTTTAAATAAACTGAAGAATAGTTCTCCCAGTATTTACAGCTAAAGCGTCTTCTGTTGGTCCCCATACCAGTAGGAGATTTGATCATCCTTTTGGGGCAAGTGAAGGGATTTTCCACCCAATTTAGGGGGAAGATAAATCTTTAGATGTGGCCCTTTGTCTTAACCATGCTTTGCTCTTGTTTTGTGTAACTGGAATCTCAGTCATACTTCTTTCCTTTCTGGTGCAATTATGGCAATTCTTCAAGGGCCCAGTAAAGCCTGAGGAAGCAGGAAGAGGGGAGAAGATGAAGAGGAGACATATTTGCAACAAACTGACCTATCCTTCATCCCTTAGTGTCAATTGTGGCAGTATTTGCATCTGTATTCTTTCTTACACATTTACAACCCACTCTCATGTAGCAGGGACTCTGATCTCCAGCTACTGAAATGAAGCTTTCCTCTTTTGTTTATTACCTCTCTTTTTTCTTGCCTGTGTCCATTTCAATATTAGAATAATCATTACCCTCTTAATAGTAATATCTGTGCAGGGTTTATTTTTTTAATAAGTATTTTTCATTTGACTGAACTGATTTCATCAAAGGATGTTAATGTGATCACTTTAATTTGCAAAATGTCTTCCTCTTTTTATTTCTTCTACATTTGATTTTGAGCACACATTTAATAGTTTTTGATGTTTGTGTTTAAACCTCAGCTGGACATGCAGAATAGGCTCTAGACAGTCTCAGAATTTCATTATGACCAAGGAACCACTATTCTATAAACACTGAAAATTGGAAATTATCTCTAGAGCTGTTTGTTAACGAAGTCGAAGGCTAACCTTTAGGGCTCATTAAAATTCCACTGATGAAGACTCTCATGCCGGTCCGTCTCTCTTTCAGGAATCTATCCCCGTGTTACGAGTGCTGGTGTGTGGAAATCGGTCTGGGCCCTCCCCTTTGCCCTCCCCTTTAATCTCTCGGTTTGGTTTAGGCAGAGATTTTTAAAGCTTATAGATTTCTCTTTCTCCCTACTCAGAGTATGTGTTGTGAATCCAAACAAATATGAGTAGGTCTCTGAATGTGTAACTGTGACTGAGCCACCTGGACTGGCAGTCCTACTGAATCTCCCTTCCTCCATCAATAAAGGAACAGAGTCATTGGTACTGGGGATAATTAAGAAAGGCAAAAAGAGGGTTACATTTTCTGTACCGACAGTAGAAACAAACATGGAGGCGGGGGCAAGACATGACAAATCTCCAATTTACACCAGTATACAAGTAAACTGCACAATTGGTAGAATGCAATGAATTGTTTTAATGAATCTTTGCTAAATGACAGTTAAAATACAGCCATGCCTTTCAAGAAATCCCTGCCTGGTGACAGTGGCCACTCTCCTGTCCTGCTGGCAGATGAAACCTCCCAAATCCTCCCAAAGTGCTGCAGCATCCATGTGTAGAAGGGTATTTGCATTCACTTTGTGCCTCGTTGTAGAGAAGGATACCATTGATAGCACATAGCATCACTATTATTATTGCTAAACAGATGGAAAATAATTGTTTATGGAATTTGTGTTTTAATCGCATTAATGTCTTTGGCAGGGAGATCTACCAAGTACACAATTCAAAGCCTGCCTTTGATCCGGGCCCCTTGGGGGCATTTTCCATGACTGATAAAATACTCCTCTGAGTTCATAGGCAAATGATGAAAATGATAAAAAGAAAAAAGTCAGGCACCAACCTCCCATTTGGGTATTTTGTCTCCTTGGAGAATCACAAGCTCGCCAGGCTTGCAGTCATGCTGACGATTCAGCACACATCTCACCGTTATACACTCACCCAGGGCTCAATATGAACGCCCTCATCTCTCTCCTCCCTCCTTTTCCAGTTCCCTCCTCCCCTTTGCACACAAACACACACATGCTCAATGCAAGAATTCATGTGCTCTCTCTTTTCATAGATTCTTACTGCCTTTTTATATGGGCCAGTATAGATGCTTTTAAAGTATTTCTCAATAATAGCCCTCAAACACATTTTTCCCCTCTCAACCATCACACATTTCTTGATTAGCATTATATCGTGACAAAATACATATCAAAAGCCTTGCATTTAATGAAAATGAACATTCTAATTGTGAAATAGTTTGTCTTCTACATATTCTGCCACAAATCAGGCTGAGTGCAGTGTAGTCAAGCCCAAACCCTGATAACTTGACAATTTCCCTCTTACCAAGACCCAAAGAACAGAAGCTAGTGTAGAAATTTTGATAGCCAGTGAAAAAAAAAGGTTGTATAGATTTTTGTCTCAGAAGCACAATCCCCATCTTTCCTTCTCCTGAGAAGGTTAATCAGATACTTACCTTTCCTGTTAGAATGAAGAGAACTATGGGGGTTTTAAATTCATAAATGTATTTTTTGTTTATTTGTTTGGTGGATTTTTTCCTCTCATTCTTTCTCCTCTGCAGAACACAACTAGTAAATGATTGGATCTTTGACAGAACAAAGGTATTTTTGATGGGCTCTGTAATCTAGTGCGCTAATGCGCCCAGTCCCCTCATTGTCTTGCTGTCTGATCCCATGCCTTCTGCCAGACAGTCACTGCGGGATGAGTCACTTTTAATGTCTGATAATCAAGGTGAATTTTCAAAAAGCTGCCATTTTGGAATTATGCACTATATCACGGTGTCAGGGAGAAGAGAAGGAAGGATGAAGGGAAGGCTAAGATAGACACCTACTGCACATTGGGAGAACTGCAGGACACAGCCAACACCGTGCCAGACAAGATGTGTCCGGAGGGTCCAAGTCGATCAAGGCGTACATAATGAGAAGGAGACTATGTTAATTATAAATTAAAAATAACTTCTATGATAATGAAGATTATATGCACAGGAGGAAATGTCTTAGTTAAAACAGACTGGAGGGATGGAATTAAACACCAGCCATTTGGGGGTATGAATTCTGTACCTACTGAATATATTGTGGTCCATTAAATAACCTAATACAAACTTACATTTGAAAAAGAATAGAAGTGAACTGTGGCTGTCTCCACGGATGCTGTATTGTCTGCCATCCTTATTTAAAGCAACATCAGCAAAGGGATGTTACTTAGTAGATGAATACAGCCCTCCTTCAACTAGGGAGACTGGTTATTTCTGGAATCATTTAAAGAACTGAACCCACACCCCCATGAAATAGAGAGGGAGATACTGGAAACCCTGGGTAAACAAAGGCCAATCAAATATTCTTTCAAGGCTTTGGCTGTTCAAATATATGGCAGTCAGTGTCTTCTCTGAGGCAATTACTGAACCCACTGTTAGGTATTATGGCTTTGAAATTTTTTTTAATTATTGGCATTGTATTAAATAGTAGGGTAGCCGAAGGAAATGATATAATATGAGAATAGCCTGCCACTTTTGTTTATTATTCAGAGAAGTGAACACCTATAAATAGAACCAGGATGTTTTGACTAGGGAAATGCTGTCCTCATTACAGCTGGGAGATGCTGGAGTGATTTAAAGCCAAAGCTTCAAAGCTTTGTCCTGCTTTATAAAAGCACGAGGGTTTTCATGGCTGTTTCAGTGGTCTGTCAGAGCCTGCAGGTGCTCTATCTGTCCTGGAGGAAGAAGGAGAGACATTTCTGAGAGTGCTATTTTGTAACTATGATGAATACTTACATATTTCCTCTAACAGAGGTGTTTAAATACCTACATATCTTCTTCAACACAAGTTATGTTTACAGATTATTATCCCTTCATACTCCTTCAAATAACCTTCATAACCCAAGTTAACTAGTCCATCCTCTCCTTAACCCCCTCCACCTTCACCTTTGACACTATCTCTCTCTATATATATGTATCTATGTATCTTGCACTTTCTTTCTCTCTCTCACTCTCACTCTCACTCTCTCTCTCTCTCTCTCTCTCTCTCTCTCACACACACACACACTACCCAACACACAATTGCAAAATAAGCAAAGATAACATAGAGTTACGGTATTACTACTGTCATATTTATATATACACAAAGATTCAAAATATAGAGAATATTTGCAATGGAAAGGACCCCTTAGAGATCTTTTAGTACAGCCCTAATTGTACTGAGATAACAGAGAAGAGACTTGTCCTAGGACATTCAGCCAGAGAACAGCAGATGTCAGGCTGGCATCCAGGTGTCTAAGCCCGAGGCTCGCCTGCTTTCTGCTATAGCATGCTATCTTCCCATTAAAAGAATTAAGACTCTACAGCTTGGCTAAACCATTATTGAAGCACAGATGTCACAATGGAAAAATAAAAACCTAAGGAGGCAATAAGAATCATATGCACTTTCAACCATGATACAAAGGAATAAAATAGAATATGGTATGAAATTAAGGAAAGCAAAATCCTAATATATATCTGTCTAACAAAATCATCTACCTAGTCAGGAATTCTATTAGAAGGCAG